CAACAAATTTGTTCTATTTTCTAGTGTATCACCATGAAGAACTAAAATCATGCAATGAAAAAAAATCCTTCTACTTTATGGAAAATTATAAAGAAGGGAAAAGACCCCTTTATTATTTTATTTTATTTTATTTTTTACCTGTTACCACCTCAAATGTTGAATTATCCAAGAATGCCTCTGAGAGTACAGTACAACCGGCTTCCTTTCTATACAGCCCCAGAGCCAATCCGTCCACCTAATACTCTTCAGTTATGTTTATTTTCTGCATCCATAGCAGGAAACAGGGCATGCCAGTGCTTGAAGATGTTTTCTCAGAGCCTACACCGCTATCTCTGGGACACCCACTCTCTGTCCTTTCACCCTTCTCCAGAACTACACCTGGATTGAAAAAAAAAAAAATTCAACCTTGCTAACTGTTTTGGTATATTTAGAATTTAAAAAAAAATCTCTGCCTTACCTTCCCCCTTTAGTACTAGATCCCTTCTCACCTAGGCTAGGACATCGCTCTAGTAGTTGGCCTCTTTGTAATGGATTCTGCTTACCAGCATAAAGTATGTTACCTGAGACAGCTCTCTTCAGAGAACCAGAGATTTACACATCAGAGGTAGGTTAACAGTCTCAAAGAAAAGTATGAAACCAAGAAACTCTCTGAAGAACAAACAGTTGACTAGAAGATGAAGCCAAATGAATCTACCACATGAGAAATAAAGGAAAAAGAGATAAAACTATGAAATACATGATCCAAAGGGAGAAAATACCTTGTGGATTAAAAAAAAATTCCTAAATCCTATTTTTTTTCTTCGAAGACCCTATTCAAGCTTGAATGAAATTTCAGATTATCAAAGCTTAAGACCAATCCTAAAAGTTTCCCTAGAAACAAATTACTTAAAAAGGAATGCGAATGGAACCAATTTCTCAATGGGAGCTCTAAAGGTGAAGAAACAGAGCAACACGTTTAAAGTTTTGAGGGAATGGAACAAAGGAAATCAAAGGTATGTCAGTGTCCAGAGGAAAACAGATTCTTTTTTTTTTTTTTCCTTTTTGTCTTTTTTACTGACCGGCAACGGGATCGCAACCTTTGGTGTCGCGCCCGCACTGCGCTCAGCCAGTGAGCAGGCACTGGTCTCCACATGGGATCCGAACCCTCGGCGGGAGCACTGCCGCACTCCCAAGAGGTGCACTCTCCAGTGTGCCACCGGGCCGGCCCAGGAAAACAGATTCTAAGTGCCTATAGATACTTACAGAAAGTTGTGTTTTAGAATTTTGGAATAATTACTGAAAAATGAAAACCTGATTAACCAAAGACAGTATGATAAATTAAATACACACACACACACACAGCTGCCAGTACAAGCCTAAAATTACTACCAATCACAATATACATGGTTGTTAGATTCACCTATTAAAAGGCAGAGATTCTCAAATTGGGTTCACAAAAATACCAGCATTATGCTATTTGCCACAGACACTAGAGAAGACATGAGAGGAAAAAATATACATCCTAAAAATGCTAGTAATAAAAAAAGAACAGGTTTAGTAATATTATTATACAAAGATTCAGAGTAAAAATCATTAAAATAATAAATACAATAGTTCATATTAAAAAACAGTATAATCCACTAGCAAAATATGATATAAATCTTTGTGTACATAATGACCATAGTATACAAACTGATAGAAATACCAAAAGGGATTGATGAAAACATGATCTATTAAAAATATGGAGCAAAAACTCTTTAGACCTCAACAACACAGAATATAAGTTATTTTCAAACACAGGGAACTGCAGCACATATCAAAAAGCAGAAAAGTATCAATTACATGTTTTTCTTTTATGGTAGACTACAATTAGAAATTAATAGCTAAAAAGATATAAACAGTAAAAATTAAAAGTTAAAAAACATATTTCATAAATCCTTTAGAATTTGAGAACAGCCCAGACTCAAATTTATGCAGGGTGACTTGAAATATTTTTCTTGGAAAAAAATAAAGATTTCAAATAACTGAACTAAGTTTGCAAATCAAGAAGATGGAAAAACTAGAACACAAACCTGCACCTGTTTTCCTATCCATGGTCTTCCTTGTACACTGGATTGAGTAGTGATGCCCCTCTCCAAAGCCCACCCCTCAGGCTTCTGCAAGGATGTGACTGCCAGAAGAGGAGAGATTGCTGGCCACTGCACAAATAGTTTCACAGTCCTTCCCTTCAGGTGACAAACATGCTGTCACAGTTCCCATCTCGGGAAAAACAAACTCTCCCTCGACCTTACCCTCAGCTACTGCCCTGTTTCTCTCTCCTCCTTTATAATCCAACTCCCCCCAAAAATGATCTGCAATCCCTCTGTTTCTCTCTCTCCTTCGTCACTCCCCTTCTTTCACGAATCCACTCCAACAAGACTACAGGCCTTAGCACTCCACCTGAATCAGATCTTGCCAGGGACATCGTTGTCCTCACCACTTCTCAGTCCCTCTGCCTCCCCTTCCTGCCCCCTTGGCCACCATCTGCCGCTCACACTAGAGTGTAGTTTCTACGGGCACAAGGCTGCATCTGACTGCCTACAGTTATCAGTTATCTCCAAGCACCTACGGTAGTGCCTGGGAAAGAGCAGATTTCCAGTAAATATTTGTTGAACCATCAACAGAATTTGTAAAGATAAAAGCAGCAGAATAAAATGAAGAAAATCAACGGAATCAAACACTGATTTAAAAGAATATTGAAATAAATCAACTTTTGGCACTCCTGATCAAGAAAGAAGTCACAAAGCAACATTAAAACCTGAAAGATGGGGCCGGCCCGGTGGCGCAATGGATTGTGCGCCGCTTGGGAAGCGCGGCGGCGCTCCCGCCCGAGGGTTCGGGTCCCACATACAGAC